AAACTCTTGTGTACCAAGCTAGGTGGCTGGCATTTCAGATCTTTGGCATCTTTCTAAATGGCTCTCTGCAAAAATGTTGGTTTCACCTTTACACTTGAAATAGGTGTTCACAATTCTATCTTTATCTTTTAAAATATAATGCATACATGAATTTTAAGTTTCAAACTTAGTTTAACACATATTCTTAACTAGCACATCTATAGTTTCACCTATTGAAAAACGAAGGAAAAGTTTGAGCACATGTTATTGTAATTTTGACTTGAATGTTCAGAATGTGACCTTTCCAAGGTGAAGAAGGGAACTGGAGTTGGATGTTCAGCATTTTGACTCTGCAGAAGAGTTTTTTTCTTACAAGTAGCCATGAGAGTAGGAAGTTAGAAGGCAGAGCCAGGAGGTCAGACATAAGAGTCAAGGAAGTATGAATGACATCATCATCCCTAAGTACCCTCTCAGAAGATGAATGAGCTCTCTCTTGTATTACAGTGCTAAAGAGCATTAGAAGGTGATATGATATCTAGACAACGCATAAGATAAATGCCTCAGAGTATGCTAGAACAGCTTCCCCCCCACACCCTCCACAAGTACATAAATCTTTTGGTGGCCTCAATACAATATGTGGCTGACGGGTATTATATATTGTGGTCAGCTGCTTCTTGGCAAAATTCATTTCTACTTAACAAGTACCTTGAACATTATCTAATGTAGTTACTTAAGCTGAATAACTCAGTGTAACTCTAACTATCCTTTAGCTGACTAGGCTCACAGCTCTTTTGGGACACAGAGTGGATTTTTTTTCACTGGTTGCTGAATAAAAAGTAAGCAGATGTCAACAGAAGAAATATCCCATCTTGTTTAAAGCTGGCACAAAATGTGTTTATCATGATAAAACTTGACAGAAAATGTTTTCGTCATGATAAAACTTGAAATGAAAGTTTCATGATCTTAATGAATTCCTTCTGAAGGGAATGCATGCCACAAACAAAATATGCAAAGTTGCTGTAATGTTGGTTCAAGGTACATCCTGTCAGAAGTAGGATTTGGTCTGAATTTCAGTCTTTGTGCTTCAAAAGCACAGTCATTTTGGCATGATTTATATAATCTTTCATACAGTAATTTTGGAATATGCAAAGTTACAGTAGACTTCACTACCCAGCCTTCTCTTTTGCTTATGTAAACACCCCTTAGTATTTTCAGGGGGAAAAATTGATTAAAATATTTAATTGCAGTTTCAAAAATTAAAAGGTGAAAACCCCCCAGTAGAAAATCATCTGCAGTTTGGAATAAAAATGGACTCTGGTTGTGTGGTGTGTAGCTACATGGAGGGCAGATTTCTGTTGCATCATATTTAATCACTACAAAAATTTTCCCTATTTTCAATATTTGCTCAGTTGTTATTTTTATAGAAATATAATTATACTCATTTGAAATAAAATGCAAGACAGAAACACTCACTTTAGCTCTAACTAAATGCTGCAAAGTCCTTTATTCTAAACCAAAAGCTGTCAGACTTTTGGCATTAATAGAAGAGTGGCTCTTTCTTGACAAATGCCCCCATAAATTAGATATTAGCTTTAGTCAAACTCTGTCTCTCTCAGGAAATATTTCCACTTGCATATTCAATTGGAAGGACCTTACATGATGCCCACTTACTGCTATGAAAATCTAGGCTTCTGAGATGAAGGCAAAGAAAAATTTCTGTGAACAAAAGAATATCTGGAATAACAGACCTTGAGCTTATGCAGAGATTTCTTTTTACAGAATGTGAGTTTCGCTCACTTTTTGATATGTCTGTCTGCTGCTCTGTCCACCTATCTGTCTATCTATCACCATTGCAGTGGTACCGTGCAATACCAATTGGATTTTGAAAGACATAGATCTTTTATATTAGCTGTCCTTTTTTATAATACCTTTTACAAATTTAATCAATGCATTTTAATATACAATATCGTTTAAGTGCAATATACAATAAATATTCGAGCTTCATCTTAAACATGCTCTAGCCTTTAAATTGTTAAAACTGCAGTGCCCTTTCAATCTACTTACATAATGTCATAAAATATACATTTCAAGGTAAATGAAGTCAGCTACTTCAATTTAGTCCCTCAAACTGGTAGTAAATGAGAGGTTAACACTATGGTGCCAAACCCATTATTGAGTAAATTTAGCACCTTGGACAGCTCTGTAAAATCTTTATTGCTTTCCTGACCTGCTCGTCATGTTCTGTCTATGTGTTCAGTGGCTCTCAGCTCTGATTGAAAGGCAATATATTAGATCCCGAACACAAACATGCTCGGGGGCTGCTTCACTGTGAGCGTAATGACATGGAGGTGAGAACAATTTTCTGGTCACCGCAATCCAAGCACCTTGCAAGGTCTGTTGCTCTAACTTATAGAGGACTTTTGGGGCTCCTTTGTATGTGGAGCTGTAACAGTAGCTTCTATGGTAATTTAAGCAGAGCTGGAAAGGTTTTAGGATGCACTCAGAAAGCAAGAAGTTAATATCTGGAGCGTGTCTGTAGTAGCATTTTATTGTGTATTTTTAAAGGTGGTTTGTGTCTATAAGAACTACCATCAGCGCTGGAATAGAAGCTACCACTATTTGATGCAGGATTTTTTGTGTAACATCTACTTTGTGTGATCTGAAAATGTCATAAACAAGAAATGCTTTTAATGTGTGAAAATATTTTTATAAAAAGTATGAAACTCAAATCTACAGACTCTGAAAATGTTGAAAAAAAATATAACCATTGACTAGCTAGGAAAATTGAATGCTACTTGTCAAACATGTTGATAAACCATAATGACAATTAGTTTTATTTACGTGCAATATGATATGGCATCAAAAAACTTCCAGTGTTTAAGAACTGGAATATATTTGATATTAGGTAGAGTGGCTGTAATTTCCATGCAATTACCTCATTTTTTAACATGGTCTTCAATCTCTTTTTAGATACATTCTAAGGATTTTAGCTCAGCATTACATAAATAACTATGATTAGTCAGGTAGAGCAGAAATGACTATTTAAACTTACATTTTTTTAGTAATTTGGCATAATGACAGTTTAGGTTAACAATATTCCAAAGCAGTTTGTGGGCTCTGTATCACATTCTAATTTTCCATCAGTGAAATATATAGTGGAAAAAATTTCTAGTGAAGTGAAATAAATCCTAATTCGCAAATTCAAACACCTGTGCAGTAATTTACCACCTAAAAATCATGGACTGAGAAAGATAACATTTTTCAGTAACATCTCTGTTTTCCTCTAGTTTTTATCTTCAGTATGAGGTAAAAAGGGCAATTCACTGTTCTGGTGATTCTGGTGAAGCAACAAGGATTGATTGTACCTGTACGTTGTTTGTAGTCTGTCTATCCGTGGTTATACTGCTAACTGTTGTTGTCAAGCTAGGCAAAAAACCCCCAAAACAATAACTATAAGTGAAAGAAAAAAAACCAAACAAACCCAAAACCACAGAAAAAGGCTGCAGCAATTTAACTCCTCAGAATCTGTTTTGAATGTAGTGATTTAAAAATCCATCAATTATATATTACATCTCACTTCCTATGTGGAAAATAATGTAAATGTGTGTTCTGAGAGAGGGGTATGTGCAGCAGAAGGCAAGCCTAAATGTTTACTGGGAGAACAAAAATCCTCCATCTCATTTTTGAATTTAGGACATTATATATGTCATAAGTAGTTACTGCAGTATGACAACTATTTTATCGTATATTATAGAGAATTTAAAATTGAAAAAAATGCTAATATGCATCTAAAAGCTTGTCATTTGAAGAGTTGTTCAAGGATTTTTGAAGAGGTTATGGTGACAGCAAAATGAACGCAATTATATCTCTATTTTCTGATCACAGTCTACAGTATATGAAAATTGAGCATTACTGTTTCTTTTTGGTATAAAATATGGCTATTGTGTAAAATATTTTAAGTTAAAAAGTTTAACTTTGTAGAAAACTGTAAAATCCTTAGAAGTGGTTCTATTTTTGTAAGCTACCTGCAGAAATATACTGTGGTGAGTAGCATCATGTTAGTATATGAGAGCAATACTTAGGGGCCGGGAATTAAAATATATTGTTTTACTCAAAGAACAGTCTTGAATAGTTTTAATCAGACATTTGGGAATCTGCTAGATGCATTGAAAGAATAAGAAAAAAATTATTCTGGGTTAATTCTGTAATGCATTTGTATATTTTCTGTCAGGATTGTTCTTAAAGATTTTTCCACACTGTAAAAGTAAGAACACAGGAAATGCCACTATAACATACTCTAAAAAATATTAAGTGAAAAAAAACAAGTAGAAAAAATGGAGAAAAATACGTGTCCAAAATGGAGAACTAAATCCCATACTGTTTTAAGAACTGCTGTCCATGCAGGGAGGTTTTCCAGGAACCACTGCACCATACTGGGCCATTCTCTCCTACTGCCTCTGTTTCCTTTTGTGAATCATTTTAGGTACATGGATCCTACCCTGACCCATCATATCAGGATACAAACTGAAGAAGTTGAGAGGTTACTCTACCAGTAGCATAGGACTGATTGGATATCTTTTGAATGTGGCCTGCTGGGTGAGGTCACAATTCCTGTGGTATGCAATTAAGAATAAAATAAACACATTGAAGGGATTCATAACATGTTCTGAATGACATTGATTGCAGTAATCTAGTAAATGACCTCCGGATTGTATTCTGCAATAAACCGATGAGTGGTTTATAGTGCAGATGGTAGAGACAATTGAGTGATGTATTTTATTTTGCAGCACCAATGGTTCTCACCTTTTGACTTGATTAAGCGTGTGTGTGAATAGGATGAACTAGTGACTTAATTCAGTGGTTGCTGAGAGTTGTTACAATTAAGGTGTACCTGGTGGGAGAAAAAAATCCCCACAAAACACTGTGCAACTAATAGAAGAGTATAAAAGATTTTAATATTTGTTTTCCCCCACAAGGAGTGTATTGAACTCAGAGGAATGCATCTGTTTTTGTATTGACAGGAAGTAATACTGAAGAGGGCTGCTGATTTAGTAGAAGCACTCTATGGTATGCCACATAATAACCAGGTAAACGCATTCTCCTTCATCAATTCTAAAACACGGCTGTTTCTTAGATGTATAGATATAGCAGGGGCTAAAGGTATATGATACTACAATGTGAGACAAGAATAAATATAGAGGACAATGTCATATCTGGAGTGGTGTTTTCTTTTTTAAAGGGTGTGAATTTAGTGCTTGTAAAAGCAACGTGTTATTAACCCTGGAGGCATTTGCCCAGTTTCACCAGATACTATATAATATGGGCGATGATATGCATGATGTCTTGCCACCAGTGATTTTTCAATCTTACACTAAAGATAGCTTTAATGTGGAGTCAGTCTAGGCTCCAGCTCCATTCTGCCAGTTGGTCTTGCTATACAGAAGGGTGGCCTCTGGGACGGAAACTTCTAACTGTCTTACCACAGACATCAGAATTTATCACAAAGGCAGCAGATCTTATAAGCATTAGCTATCAGTCAGCCAACTGGTTTAGAAAGGAAAGCATCTCATTTTTGCCTTTGGACAGGGAAATGTTTCATTTTAGTCTATAAGAAAAGGTTTGTCAGAGTCACTTTGGTAACTCTCTTATTCTTTTTTTTCCCCTTCTTATCCTCTAGGAAATAATCCTGAAAAGAGCAGCAGACATCGCAGAAGCACTCTACAGTGTCCCCCGCAATCACAACCAGCTCCCCGCCCTTGCTAACACGTCGGTCCATGCAGGAATGATGGGAGTGAATTCCTTTAGTGGTCAGCTAGCTGTCAATGTCTCCGAAGCCTCACAAGCCACCAATCAGGGTCAGGAGAAGACTCCTCTTCCTCTCTCTATGAAGTTTTTCTGATAAAAGTCAGGGAAATGTGCAGAGCAGTGAAAGAGCGATGGTTCCAAACTGAAGGCTAGGAGCTCGTCTAGACAGACACCGTCCCATGTGCATGCACAGCTTTTGAGTGACACAATACTGTCATGGGATGGGGCTTGCTTTAGGGACTTTTGCCCCAATTTCTGCATATATCCAAATAACTTTTCCTTCTGCTCAGAATAATGCTTGTATTTGTGTTTAGATCCCACTAATTTTAAAAGGATTTCTATCAATTGAGCATGTGCTTCATGTTAAGTAGTTGCTTATGTATTTTCCTGAGCATGGATAATCTCTCAGTCTGGGACCTATATAGCACTTATTTATAACACAAAAGTATCCCTTGAATATTTGGCTGTTTGGTTTAGTTTTGCAAGAGACATAATATTGGCACTGATTTTTTTTTCAGAGTTTGTGACTTTTTTCTAGATTTTGAAACTAGCAAAAAAATAGAAGTATATATAAAGAGCTTCTCTATTTTTTAAAATAAAGTGGTTTTCATTTTGTATAAAATCAATATTATTTTAGTTGCTACAGTTAAAAATAGAAAAAAATGTTAAGAATATTTTTGTAAAAACCCTTTGCATTTTCCCCTTTCCTTTCCTCAGCTCTATTTATGATCCAACTTAAAAATCCACTTTAATGAGAAAGTATTAGAATAAGGCTGTTTTGTAGAAGGCCAGACAAAATTATTTTGCATTATGCTAAAAAAATATAAATTATTTTTGGATTAAAATATTTTATAGATGTACTGTGTGGTAGGAAGGAAAGTTGCCACTTTTTTTCTTCTAGGAGCGACTATGCATTTTTAATTTTTCTGTGATTCTAGAAACAATTCTTCCTTTTTAGATATGAATTTCTCCAAATGTCTTTTCCAGAATTAGGTGGAGATTCAAATTTTAACTTGGTGCCAAATTTAATAGTCATTTTCTACCAACATAATGATCAGACCAGGGCAAAAAGACTGAGGATATCCCACTACTTTGAGAAATACACCCTACATTTTCTAAAGTGTGCAGTGAGCATCTAATTTGAGATGTGTTAAATGAGAGTGACATCAGAAGAGCATTAACAAAAATCACATGCTTTTAACATACCTTAAGTTGGTATGTGCTCCTCACTTTGGAAATGTAGGTCATGTTTACTCCATTTCCTACAAACAGCTCTTTTAGAGTGAGTGTTTCTGCAATACCCAGTGGTGATCTTTGCTGGAGGGCATGGGTTGCCTGAGGAGCTGTGGCGGCAGCTGCCATCAGCAGTGACCTGGGCAGGGAGGGTTCACAATTCGGGTTGTCTGGTGGCAGTGGAGGTCTGTCCTGGCCCTCCCAGTGCACACCTTGGCTGGACTAGGCTGCTGGCTTCGTAGCCCGGAGTTACTTGCTTGTAGCTGTTTGTGTAAGAAACTGTTCTTGAGCTAATACCAATTTCTAAATGTATTCCCTCCCCACAAAAGGTTTTACTCGCAACTCAAGCAGTGTATCGCCTCACGGCTATGTGCCAAGCACCACCCCTCAGCAGACAAATTATAACTCTGTCACAACAAGCATGAATGGCTATGGGAATGCTGGAATGTCAAATTTAGGCGGTTCTCCAACCTTCCTGAATGGATCTGCTGCCAACTCTCCCTATGCCAGTGAGTATTATATGGCTTTTCCACATGTTGCACATTTTCTTTAGAAGGAGATGGTGTCTTTTAGTGATTCTCAATATTTAGTTTCTGTTTCGAGCACTTGAAACAGAGCTTGGTCCTTTCCCTCCTCTCCAAGGCACTGACCTTTGAAGCACTCTGAAGACATTAGTGTTGCCAGCAATGCTCTTTAGTTTATTATTATTATTTATTATTATTATTATTTGGGAGTCTCATAGGAGCTTAAAAAGAATAATATCTCTCATTATTCCAGCTGATAGTTTCATAACTTACCTTATACTCTGTAAACAAGAAACACTGTCCTCAGCACTGCTAAAGATCAGGGATGGCATAAGTGACTTAATGTCCATTGTAGTGGATCAAAAGTCAGTCGTCAGTACACAACTTTTTGTTGCAGTGGGTATGAGAGGGAGCTAAGGATATTTGCTGCAGCAAAAATTTTTTTTTCCAGCTGTAAGATATGAAGGGCAGGAAAGTTTACTGTAATAAGACTGACATTTCCATAAGCTGCATGATGATGTTTCCAAGACCTCTGAGCAAATAATATGTTCATAACTTTTATAAAAATTATGGATTAGTATTTGGCCTAGTCTTGATTTGCTTTTTAGCTATTTTATTGACTTCACTGAGAGTTTAGTATTAGTCAGTAAAATGTGACAATGGCTCTTAGAGTTTGTGTTTTAATGTCTGTAGAGTGAATTCCACAAAGATGTAACTCATACAAATCATATATTCCACGACATACAGGGTTTATAGTCTACAATCCCATTTATGGAAGTACTTATGTGTAGGACTAACTTTCTGCATTTTCATGTTAAAGGTTTAGTAACCTGTTTAAATATAGATACATTTCTATTGGTAGAGGCCTATGAACCTCTTCTGCAGCTGCTCACTCAGCCCAGTAGTCCCTGTTCACATGAGGAAATTAAATTAATAGGACTTGCCCAATTCCTCTGATGTTACTCGTGTGGCATAAAGGATTCCACTGACATCTGTAGAAAGCTGCTGGCAGAATCAGGCCAGAACCTCTTGTCGTATAAATAGGTTTATAGGCTGGGACCCTAGCATGGGCAGGACAAACAGACTGCTGAACATACCAAGGTTTACACAGCAAATCTGAATTTTAGTTGTGTAACAGCAGTAATGAATTCTTTTGAATTGCATTGCTACAGTTCAGAATTAAAGAGGAGATTGTAACCCTGCTTTGAAAAATTACCTCCAAGGCTGCTTAGCTGCTGCAAATGTAGAAGAAAATATTTACCCACATAACTAGTACTTACAACGTGGGAATTGCTAACCAGTTATTATTTTTTGTACGCTAATAATAATGTAGCAAGTAATGTTGCAAAGTACCTTACTTATTAAATTGAATTTACTGTCACAGAATCTGTGCACTCTGAATTCATAATATAACATGATTGACGAGACATCTCTTTTTGGAAGCAGATGCCAGTAATGCATTTAAAATACTCTAGCAGTGTATTATTTCATATTTATGAACGAAGTCCTCTTTAGAATAGCACTTCACTTCCCAGCCCTGGTTCTCTATATTTTGGGAGGTTTTTCTTGGTAGATCTGTCATTCTGCTAATGCCTAATCCATTGAATCAGAAAATGTTTCAATCATGACCTGAAAATTAAAAGGTGGCATTCTTAATTAAATCAATAAACTAATTGCTGTATAGTAGCAATTCAATTTAGTTGCTTTGATTGCTCTTCTGTAGCAAGTACTTCCAGACATAGAGTGACTTCAGACTAAGATTGTATCTGTCAGACTGTGAAACTTTGAACATTTAATTTCCATTAATTGATTTCCTCAGTGTTAACAAATATGGTATCAGATTCTCAAATAAAAACTTAAATAGGGTGATTTTTATCTACATAAATGCAAATAAAATAAAAATTCAAAGCCCAAATTAATTTTACTCCATAATACGTAATTATTCATAGCCCCCTCATGTATATAAGCAGTTTCTAAACAGGACGAAGAATGAAAGTATGGAATCTTACTATTGGTCCTTTCTTTTTTTTTTTTTTTTTTTTTTGGATAAGAGGGCAAACTGGGAATGCTGTCTGAATATAAAAGTAGTTTGCTTTATTTTCAGGAAAACAAATTAACTTAAAACCTCAATGGAAAATGCATGAACCAAAGATATTTATCTCACTACATAGTAAAATAACCATTTAAGGGTATATGTATTTAAAAACTGAACCCCCTGTATAGCAGGTTTGCATTTGGGACAATCAGTTCAGTCCCTAAAAAAGAAAATAGCCTTATGACTACTCTTGGTTAGAAAAACTCAAGACTCTCATTTTATTCAGTCTTGTAGTTAAAGCCATATCTCCATTTGATGTAAACCAGAATGGCTTCACTGCTTGGCTATTCCAGCTGAGATTCCAGTCAATGGCTCTGAATGACAATGTTCTATTGACTGGATTCAGATGGTGGTCACAGATCCTCTGGGAGAATTACTTGTCTTGACCGTTGTAGAACAGACTTTCATTTTAGAAATTCTCCATTTCTGGTGAGATCTGAAATGCCAACCTCATTCCTGTGCATAAATAAAATGGTCGTGTGAGAAATGTGACTGTTTTGTCATGTCACAGAGAATTCCTGGGAAATCCCCACAGCACAAACTTTCCCAAAGCTGATGGAGACAGGGAAGCCGGAGGCTGCCTTGGTACTAGTAGTTATAACACAGAATACATTTGTGGCCATTGTGAGAAAGGTTTAGTGCTTTCTCCCATTGGGAGATAAAAGAGAAGCACTATTTCTGTCAGTCATTACACACTTTTTTTTGTGCAACAGACATTGAAAACACTAGTGCCAGGAGACCAGAGGAGTAAAAACCTGTCAGACCCATGTCAGTGGTTGCTTCATGCTGGACAGAATCCATGTGCATACATATCTATATGTGTGTGTGTGTATTCACAGCTCCCAGAATAACTCCTTTTAAGCCCTAGTTCTTGCAGGGTTTGAGAGAGGAGAGCAACCCAACCATTTTTGCTGACTTTTGACAAGTAGTTTGACTGGGTCCCCACTAAGACCTCTACCTTTTGCAAGTTTGCTTGAAACCCCCTGGGTCTCTCTGGAGCCATCTTGCTACAAGAAAAGCACGGCATTAAAATGTTGGTTTTGGAGGCCAGTTAGAAACTCAGATCTTTCAAAGGTAGAAATTTCAAATCCAGATTTGTACTTTAACCACTCTCTTTGCCCATCAGGTTTGTAACCCCTGAGTTACCTACAGAGTCTGGATTCTGTCTTATCCACCTAGACAAAAACATTACAAATTTGGGCTGCAGCAGTGGCTAATGCCAATCACTAGAAAAGGTTGAAACAAGGTGTCAGGCCAGGGTTGCTGTGAGAATAAAGAGCTGCAGTGATAGAGAATTAAGGGAGTGTTTAAGAGCTCCTAGAAACACTGCTCCTGAACAAAACTAAACAAAACAAGTGTGTTTCCTGTAGTGATTGATCAAACTTTGTGAACAACCAGAAATCTAGCCACAGTAAAGGCCTTGACCATTTGAAATTAGACCCAGTGCCTCCAAGAAGCAGAATTCTCTTGTTTCTGCAGCCTGCTGATTATCTAATACTAAGGAATGCTTTTTGGGGGGGTCTTCTTTTTTCCTCTAGTTGTGCCATCAAGTCCGACAATGGCCTCCTCCACTAGCCTCCCCTCAAATTGTAGCAGTTCCTCTGGGATTTTCTCCTTCTCACCAGCCAACATGGTTTCAGCAGTGAAGCAGAAGAGTGCTTTTGCGCCTGTCGTGAGACCGCAAACTTCTCCTCCTCCCACCTGCACCAGCACCAATGGCAATAGCCTGCAAGGTAGGTGAAACCACACCTGGAGCGTAGATGGCTGCTCTCAGAACCGTGAGTTCCTGGTGCCTTGCGAGGGTCTAAGTGACACTGAGTTGTCAAAGGGGATAGAAGACAATGGGGGATCCCTCGTGGTCTCTGTCGTAAAGTTTCCTCCTGTAAAGAGTAAGTGGACTTCACCACCAGCCCACCTAGTACCACGCAGGTGTTTGGCAACCACCCTATCACTAACTCGACTAATACTGCTGAATTGAGAGGCTGTGTCTTTTAAAGCACAGACCTACTGTTATAATAAAAACGAGTAATATTTCAGCTTACTAATACCATCCTTTTTCTTTCTTTCCTCTCTTATTCCCTGTTGTCGTCCTTTATCAGACCAGTCTTTTGTGGACTCTAGCAAGTACTCCACTGCAGGGTCTCTCCAGGGGCTGGCCTTCTCCTGAAGTACGTCACTCAATCTTCCCTTCCTTTTTTTTTTTTCCTTTGTCATAGTGCATTTGTGCAGAAATCCTACTGAGAGCAAATAGACTGTTACAGAGCTTGGCACAAACCTTTGCCTTTCATAAATAGAAGACATATTACAAACTAACAGCAGCATTTTCCAGTGTAACTCATACCAGAGCAAACATCAGTTTCCACTGATTAATGTACTTCTGCGCCAATTAATTCCACAAATGGCACAGGGTTTCTTTTTGAAAGCCTCTTCAGCTGTTAATATCAAGGGGCTGCTCCTTTTCTGCATCCCTTCCCCTCTCATTACAAAGTATTCCAGCATTAGCACCTAAATACGTTTTGAAGCGTTGATGCAAGCTGAGGGAGTGACAGACTAAAGCTTGTCAAACTGAGGATGCTGCAAAGACCAGCGCTGCCCATTTCATTGTTTGGTTTAGCCTGTTTTACAACACTGTGCCTAAACCTTCCTGTGTAATTACCTCACTCCGCGTTAGTGTGCTGAGAGAGACGTTTTCATGCTCATTTAGACCGAGGAGTTTCCATGAGCAGATGCAGCCAGCTGCCTCCAACCGTGCCAGAGGTGGGGAAGATCTTGCAGTACGCGTTGTGCTTCCCCGAGACCTGAGGTCTGTTTTCCTTTCCACGTGCCTGTGCAAATTATCCAAAGAGCATTGAGCAGGGAATAAAATCCGTCATTTCTAAGCCGTGTTCAGAAGGAGCTGTGCGGAGCAGGGGGCAGGATAGTTCCACAGACTCCACGTGTCACTCTGCAGCCTCTGGAAAGGGAACCGCCGGGCTTGCAGGCATGATGCTGATAGCACCATTAACAGTCAAAAAAAATCTATATGCAGGCAGAGTGGAAGGAATTCATTCATAAAAGCTGAGATGTATTGTGACTGAAAGAAAGCTTTGTCCTCACTGCATTTTACACTCGTGAATTGGAAGGAGGAATCCTTGCAGGTGCACACACATGCACATAGAAATTATTAAAATACTAGGAACATATAGGCAGAACTTGGGTACCTTTGGTCAGGACTTTTATAAATACAGGCTGTGTCAGGAATGAATCACATCAACATTTTCACATGAGCTGTAGTGTTTAGATTAATTTTTGTGCGTTTTAAAAATTTGGCACTGCCGACATGCTGCAAATTTTAAAGGCAACAATTTAAAATGTTTCACTTTTGAATTAAAAAAAAAAAAAAAGGTAGCTAAGAGTTGACTGCTAGAAGCTTTTGAACATGTTAATGTTTTTTTGTTTTCTTCACCTTGTCCCAACTTGCTGTTACAAGTGGAGAGAAAAAGCGAGTAACAGGAGAAAGCTTTTTCAGGCACTGTTTTTCCTTTCACAAGACACAGGATTCCCAGATTCCACATACTCTGTTGTGAAAAGCAATTATGGAATGAGCTGAGATAGCACTGAACACAACTGGGGCTTGCTGATTGCCTCCTCATTGTGTCACGTCCAGACCTGTAATGCCCAGAAACCTCACAGATCTGAGTGTTTCCCCTAATTTTTATTTAGCAATGCATTTTTTTCATAATAGGAATGAGACACTAAGAGATGATTCATTTCTAGGTCATTGCTGAACTTCTCAGTGAGTTAAAGACACACAGCCTTCAGTCCCATGCCTTCTGACACCACCTCAGGCTTGTAATAATCACTCAGAAATGCACTGCCTGTTGTGCCTTATTGCTTAAATAAACAACCGTGTGTAAGGAGGCTGTCTTATCTCTCTTGGGCTTCTGGATACATCAGAAAGCAATCAACCTTTCCTTATGTAGCTTAGATATCAGCAAAACTCACTAAAACAACAGCTAGGCTTATCTGTTGTTCTCTTTGCCATGCAATTTTGTAAAACTCAAAACACATTATTTCTGTAATTTGCTAGCAGCAAATACAAATTAGTATATGATAGAAGAAATAATGCCCATCGGTGGGAGTTTTTCTGCTCTCTGCCCTCCCTTTTAGGAGGTGGTGTGATCTCATACCTACACTGTTTCCCACTGATATCTCTGTTTTCAGGATCAATAGCATGCTACAGCTGAGAGAATTTGCATGACTAGATGTAGCACTTACGGAATAAAAGTAGAGTGATATAAATGAAGACTTGCAAAGAATGGAAATATCAAAGCTTTTAGGCAGAAAAGATATCATTTTGCCATTTGCCTTGTAATTTAATTCAGAATTTCAGAGCTCTTCAAAAACAATAATGCTTTGAAAAAAATGAGCTAAGATCTGCATCTCTACCATTTGTTTCCAGTGGCAAAAGGTGGATGGCTGATATGTAACTACAGGGAAATGTTTAAGCCATGAAGGGAGGAGTTGCAATTATGTCCCCTTCATTTGGGCTCTTACCCAGACTACACAGCTGTGCTGTCCCAAGAGAGAGACAATTCTTGACCATTTCTTGTTGGAGTCAATTTGGTTTTGATTAATCTTTTAGCTTGAGAATTTTTAGTTGGAATAATATTTTGACATTTTCTGAAATGTAAGTAATTTTTCTAAAGCAAAACATATTTTTTTGAAAGTTTAGCTAAATTTAGAATTTAGAAAGGGCTTAAAAGGACAAAAAAGGTTAAAGTAGAATGCACAGAGGATTAATTATCCATCTGACTCTGCTCAGTTGCACTCATCACATACAGGAAGACTCTCCTCATTTCCATCAGCTCAACTCCTTCTGTATGTGAGTAGTGAAGGAGGGAGCACTGGTGCCAGTATTGCTTTTCTCTGCGCTGTAACATACAGAGCTAACACCCAAGCACTGCGGTGCCACCCCTGTATTCTGCTAAACAGCTGCCACCCAGAAATCTCCAAGTGCTTTACTAATAGGGGTAAAAATTGTTATTGCCAGGTGCGAAACAGAAGCAAATGAAATTGTTTGGCTTAATACAATGAGCTAGAAGGAGCACTGGAGCAAAACCTATGTTTCAGGTCCATGCCCTTGTGAAGTCTGCCGTGTGTTCAGATAGCGGAAAAATTCCACTCCCACCCTTAGCTGTAGGTGGCTGCCTTGCAGGGCTGCCCCGGCAGAGTTACAGTCTGGTTGACTGTATCCATCACTGTCAATACCTGTTTTATTGATGCCATAGAGGGCTGTGGATCAGGGTCCACACCCTGGCCTACGCTGTAAGGATCCCAAGAGCAGAGTAGGGAGAAATCACAACAGTTGCTTGGTTTGAGTTTGCTTAATTTTTATTCAAGTGAACCAAAGGGAAACCCCAATTGTGAGGACCCAGACCTTTTTATTTGAGAACACTGCTGAAATAAAACTTTTTGAGAATTTTTTAAACAAACAAAGCTGCTGTTGTTTCGCCCAGTGTTGATTAAGTTAGCAAGGATTCTAAAAAAATGGCAATATCTAATTCATCCTGTGATTCACGATGAAGGAGGCAGCATAGCTATGGAGATAATATGAAGGTATGTCCTCAGATTATCTCCATGGTAGAGCGAAAAAAACCCCATGACAGGAAATACCTCCGCAAGGAACATCTAAGACACAGCGGTGTCCTCTATGCCACTCACTTGAGTGCCTTCCTGTAGGCTTAATGCAACTCAACTCACCTCTCTATCCCTTTTATCCTCATTCTCAGCTCTTTGAAGAGCCCTTACATGGAGTGGAAACAATCAGCACAGTGATTCCACATAGAAACATTACTGAACGATAAATTCCAAGGATCAAAATGCTGCTGTATAGTTGCAACATGTTGCCTCTGAGGATGGCCTGTTGCAAATATGTGAATGTGTTTTGCATTCTCACCTCCTCTCATTTTATTTCATTTAATCAGTGCAGTTTACTCGAGCTGTTCTCCCCTTGCTGATTAGACTTGTAATTCTTGCACATATGGTGGTGTTTGTAGAGAAAACATTTCCCTCCTCTCCCCCTCCAACCCCAAATCTGTGAGTCTTTTACTTTGGCTCTGTTCTTATCAAATAATTGCAGCTGTAATTAAAGCACAATGAATCAGCACCAGTCACAGGGTTGAGTTCTTCCTTAAGAAATTACATGTCCAGATGTCTGAGATGGCAGGCAGTTCTAGCATTTGAATAATGTGCCCATGAAATGCCGCCAACCCGAAAGTGAATCTGTTCTCCACCTTTTTGCAAATAAACGTACAACTGGTGTTTTACAGATGCATTGTTGTTACAGTTTTCATCATAAACTTGCATGACTGCCTCCTGTAATGATGTGCTTGCTCACAGTATGTCACTCGGTTTGTCTGATCTGCATAGATTCCCTGGTAAATAGGGGGAGACCAAGCTAGGTGGATGACTGTACCTATGGACTTTTAAAGAATGTCTCCTCTTTAAGAGAGGTGGTGGTTTCATAGAAAAGGAGGTTAGGAAGCATAATAAAGAAATACTGATGATTCAACTTAGCCAACAAAAGAGAAGACATCCTAAATTAACATTAACATACTCAATGTAGTTGGTGATGTCTGCTACAAGTGTAACAAAACCATGAGATGCTGGTCTGCTAAACCACCAGTTAAGGACATATTTCAATTTGAAAATTGGATCTGAGAGTTTAAGTCCTTTTCTGAGCACCTGGAAATGCATACATAAGTCCCAGGGTTGAACACTGACCTTGTAAGAGAAAATTGGCAGAGGAGAATGAACCACTGTTAGTGTACCTAATGCAACCAACACGCCACCAGGTTGGTAATGCTGGTGACCTACGGGACTCCAGCCATTTGCTCCTATGTAGAACAAGTATCTACTTTGCTTTTAAAAAAGTGATAGAATGTGTGGCAATGGGTGGGTCAGGTTTAAGCCTCCTGAGCATTCCGAGATTTTGAAACTAAAATAAAAAAATTAAGTTGGGGCCTGATTCTGATATCGGGGAAGTGCTCTTTTTGTGCAAGACAGTCACAATTTCAGCAGAGTCACTTGCAGCTTGAACTACTTTCCGACCAGTATGAGGCTTCCCATGATTCGTGTGTACGTAGTTGTCTCTACTGAAATGATACATATAAATTTAATTCACAGTACAGCTGAGTACGTTACTAGTAAATGTTTAAAAGCTCTGAGGATTTTAAAAGTTGCTTGGTAATGCACAAAAGTAACTGTTTTCCCCTTTCTCTTTCTCCCCCTCCCTTTCCTTTTGACAGCTATATCTGGCATGATTGTTCCCCCCATGTGAAAGAATTGCCTTGAAGAATTTTATTAATGAAGAGGTTGAATTCTGCTTCAGAGAGAATCTGATACAAGTCCCAGAGTGGAACTTTTTACTCAGGCCTTTTTAAAAATAAAAAAGAAATAAAGAAGAATCTTACAATAACTGCGGATTTTTAAACAAAACAAAAAATCACCATCCTTGCAAATACGGAAATTAACAATCTACAATTGCAAGGTGTTGATTCAAGTTGTCCATCCCAAATACCTGGGAGATATATTTATTGTATGTTGATTAAAAAAAATCCACTTTTTTTTTTTTTTTTGGGGGGGGAGGGGTTCCTCTTTGGCCCTAACTTTTGAGTTGACGGGTGGGGGCTTGCTTTTTTTCCCCTTCTGTTTTTTTTTTTTTGTGTGTGTGTGTGTTTTTTTAAGTCTTGATTTAACTCAACACCATTTGTCTTTTATAAATCATACAATTACACAAGGGACACTAGAGATGGAACTCCACATTTTTAATTTATGATTTTTTTTTTTAAAGCTGTGTAAAGAAAAATGAAGTGGTGTCATTTACATACAAGTCTGTATGGGACAGAATAGAAGTGCCAGTTAGTTTTTCATAGAAGAATTATGGCCATTTAATTAAGGGTCGGCTCATACAGGTTGCTTATCCAGTGGTGACTAGCTAATATGATGCATTTTTAATGTTCTAATTAAATAGATATCACTCCCTAGAAAGCTGATATTTTTGGATGATGAGGGGTGGGATTAGCTAATATCAGGCTAAATAATTATGTAAATAATGCAGCAAGAAAAGTTGGTGAAAGCAAAGGTAAGGATGCAAATAACACATTTCCTCTTGAACTGAGAATCCAGTGCCTCTAGGTAGAATGCTAAAACTGCAGAATGAGATTAGCACGGCTCTCTCTTTAGCTCATATATCAGACTCTTTCCAAATGAGTGGCCTTCTTGAGGTTTTTAGTGTCACCCGAGCTGTGCATAAAATGCCATTTGGACTTTGCATAGCCATCTAATGACACACAGTGCGGCCATCATGCGTGGGGTGTTTCTGATGCCCGTCTCCCCTTGATCTATTTGATTTTATGGGGCAAGAATGAGAACAGACTCGTCTGCGGTTCTGCATCCTCCCAATCTAAAAGCACATTTCTTCGTCAGCCTCCCACTAGGATTGTTCCTGTGTCAGTCGACCCTCTCAGTTTGTATCATAATCTCCTGAGCAACAGGTAACTGCTTTTGAATAGTAAATGGAAACTTGAGTTTGGGGGTGGGTGCTGGGGCTGTTAGGAAGGTTTCAAATCAAAACCATTGGCTTCTGTTTCACAAAAAATTTGTTTTTATCTGGGAAGTGTTCTTAAAAACTATTAGTCAAAGAGGCAGCAAAGCTCTGAAGATGCATTACCTGATATTTTTTCTTTGCTGTTGTGTTTTGTATGTAGTTATAAATACTGTAGATTTTTTGTGATTTTTTGCCAAAGTTGTTGTTCTATTTATACATTTTAATGTCTTAAGACAGTTTTTCAATATCACAAAAAAAAGGAATTTTACTGCATATTTTGCAAAAAGAGCTCACTACCTTTTGCTTGCACATACTTGCAAAATTAATTAAAGAAAAAAAAAAAGCTTTCTGTTTTTGTTCTTTGTTTGTTTGTTTTAAAGGGGATTTTGTAAAATATCCATATAAATAATGTATTTATCTTTGGAATTTGTACATTGCTTTTGATCCCCTATCAAGTTTATTTTATTGTGTATGTTTGCTATGTGAAAAGTGCTGATTTGTTTGGTCATTCACCGTTGTATTAGCTGTTTAAATGTGATTTTAAAACATTTCATTTATAGGGTTTTTTTTAGTATTGTTTAAAACCATGCTTCCATTTTTTTTTAATTTCCACCCAAAAGCCATTGTCTATTTTTGTATTATTTGTAAGTTAAGAAGTTTTTTCCAATATATGGCAAAAAGTAGCATATTATTCTTGTAGCATTTAGTTATGTAGATTTTAAAAAAATGTATCCTTTGCTTTTGAGGCTTAAAAAAAACTAATGCTGTTTTACTCTATTAATATGCATGGGATTTCTCCTCTTTGGAGTGACGCATTTTTGTGCATTAAATATGAGGAGAAACTTCATAGAACTCAATGAAAATACTTTCTTTCTTAAGTCTGCTTGTATATTTCTCTGTCTTTCACGTAAATATAAACCAGCAGATTGGATGCCTTAACAATGCAAATCATATTCATTTCACTTGTACATTGTACTGTGCACCAGAACTGTCAATCATCACTAACATTCTAAGAAAAAAAAAAAAAGGAATTGAAAAGCACAAAAGAACTGTTTTGTTACCTTAAAACAATATAACTTTTTTCTAGTCGAGCAAGAAATCATTTACAACGATGCTGCAACTGTGCATGCTTCCTGTATGAATTTTGCAATGGTTTTCACTAGAATGTCACAGTGTGATCTTTGGGGGGAAGGGAAGAAAACAGGAATTTTTTTTTTTTTTCACGGTGAGAAAATAAAAGAAGAGAAAACTGGAAAATGTGAGAGACATCAGTTTATTGCTTTTCTGTATTCCAAGCGATTATTCTAGTTCACATAGTAAGCAACAGCACGACAATGTAATCGAATTTAAAGCCATATTTTGTCCAGTGACACCATCAATTACTCTTGTAGAGCTCCACTCAAAGTCATAGTGATTTTGACACCAATGTTAGCCATCGATGTTTGTAGTCTTCTATGCCAGTGTCCAAAGATCCTTTGACAATGTGCATAATCTTGTTTTGTTGCAGCTATTTATAGTGATCTGATGAATGGGAATTTATAAAAGTCTCCCCCGCACCACCCTTATCTTTTACAAAGTAAAAGATGCAGCTGTTTACAGAATATGGCTTTAAGTGGAAACATTCAGATTTCAGTTTTAACAAGGTGAAGCTTCACAATGACTGGATTGCATAAAGTATGCCTATTTCCTCACAGTTGTACTAGGATGCAGCTAAAATGAAGTCATCTCTGAAACTACTAACCTTTCACCTTCTTATCTAAATCTTTTTGAATAGACACACACACTGTACAGTTCTATTGTTAGAGAAACTAACTACTGTAGAGATTGTTATAATTTTTTTGCAGAAATTCAAGCTGTAAAAACTTTTCAACTTTCACAATATTTAATTAAAGTTACTTCCTGTCTGTGAATACAGCTCCTAGTTGTGTGTTTATTTTTCTGCTTCTGCTGCTAGTAGATGAAGAAAAAAAAAAAAAATAGAAGCCAGAGGCTGCTGGATTGTCTTTCTGAAATGAAGGAGAAGCAGAAATTCTTGGAATTACACAATGAAACATGGTGAATGCTGGTGCACTGAAACTCCTCTTCCTCTGCCACTAATAGATTTCAAAGGATCCTCGCTCATGATGCTGAATGTTCATCCTGTTATCACTATTCTTACTATTTCCATTGTTCTAGTATATTGATTGTTGAAGGGCCAACGTATTTTTCTAGCAGATTTCAGCATATCTAGCTTTAGGTGCCCAATTGCAAAAAGCTGTCTCTTTCTGAATACAGTGATCATGAACTACAAGACAGAGGCATATTAGATCCAGTGCCAGATATCCAGGGAGATTTACATTTTCATCTTGGTATTATTTCAGTCAATGGCAACACTTCCAGGACCAGTTCTTATGTGTCCTGCTCACGGCCAACTCCAAGAACTGCATCACAGTATGTTGAGCTGTAACTAACTCCTTGACTTGACCATGAAGAAAGAATGTTTTGATTCTGTTACCCTTCCTAAAAGACAAATCCACCAGCTGCTAAATGGGTTCTAGGCATTTCATTTCATTCTCTATTCCTCTGGCAAGGAGTATAAAGCTCCAATAAAAGCTTTACCTCTGGCATGTGGAAGTTTGACACAATTGCACTTAACTGGGCCTGAAGAGTCGCTGTCACACAGAAGATCTGTATGGGGACAATCAAAACCACCACACCTAATGGAAGACTCCAGGTATATCCAAGGTAGGAATAGGGATGTTGGCATTGCAGTTTAAATTAAATTACAGTTTAGTTTAGTTTAAAACATTAAATTTTCTAAAAACACAAATAGCTGCAAGTGGCTTCTTGCAAAGTCTTGGATATCTCTTAAATGTTAGCAGATTCATTCCAGTAGTTGTTAGAGAAAAGAGAGCTGTTGGCAAAGTCAGACCCCAAATGTGTTTACTCTGTCAGCACAAGAGATCTATTTCTTCTGTCTGAGATAATTCTCCTGGTTCTCTTTCAAATGGTGTGAATATTGGCAGAATTCACTGCAGACGAGGACTGTGTGAGTGAGTACTCAGCTCACTGGAAAGATGTTGGGTCGCATGTAGCTGAAAAGCAGTCTTAGAGATTAAATTCAAGATGTAATAAATAGGCAACCTGCTTTAGATGCAGCAGAACCAGAGCCCTGCTTCAGCCTTTTGGATCCAAAGAGAATGTTTTTATCTGAAATTTAATTTCACCCACATTAAAAAAAAAAAGGGATGGAGGGGGTGAAGGAGGCAAGATAGCGTGAACCATCAGGCTTCTAGCTCAGATGGATGCTGAAGTCTGCTAGTCAGCCCCAGTGATGTTCATCTGACAATCCAAACTGGGATCACCTGTAACGGTACTGTAATAGATGATGAATTGCCTTTTTGATGCCAGAAGAAAAAGCCATACGCAGACGAGTTGCAGGATGCACATTCAGGTGTGGCTGCAGTGAGACGCATACCCCGTTGATGGGTCATACACTGAAAGGGAGACGAATGTCTTCTGTCATCGCACAGAGAAGATGTGGGCATGGGGGCTTAAGGTAAGGTGTATAACAGCATGAATTACTGATGCCCTCTACGCTGGTGGCTTCTTTAATTTTTCAGCACCTTTAGTAGTGATTTTTATGGGATTGTTTGCATCTGGCAGTGGGATTGGTTGTATTTTTATATGGGCAGGCCTCTAATATTTTGTTTAGTGTGACGAAACCTCAGCAAAATGAGCTACCTTCACTG